ACAGGGGATGGATTACTTGATGATTACTTATTCTGTTCATTCCCTCTGGGGCACCTGGCATTGGCCACTGTTGGAAGACAGGATACTGGGCTAGATGGACCTTTGGTCTGACCCAGTAAGGCCGTTCTTATGAGATGTCAGGTGAATAATACCTGTCCTTCTTGGATGAAGGGGACACCTGGCCCCTGACCTTGCCCTTTAGGTTCATGCACATCTTCACCTTGTCATGTGTTGTTCGTTATGTGATACCGCATAGGCCTGCAGCCACCCAGAGAGGCACCTAGTGAAAAAAGCATGGGTGTGGGAGAAGGAATTCTTTTTTTGTCATCTTGGTCCTACCACAATGGCCACAATCCAACCTATAATGGAGTCAATAGACAGACTCCCAGTGGGCTGGATCGGGTGCTGTGGGCCCAGGTTCAGCAAAGTCCTTGCACACGTAAAGCTATCCCTGTTCAGCAAAGCACTTCAGCCCATGCCTATGTACTTGGCAGAAGAGGGATGTGACTACTCCCATGTCTCAGGTTAAATGCTTTTCTGAGCCTTAACCACCCTGTGCCGAGTTCCTCTGTCTCCAGGGTTTTGTAAGACTGAGTCAGGGGAGTGTAAAACACCATGGGGTTCATGCAGCTGCCCATACACACCATGGAAATGGGGAAAAGGAGCAAGAAGAAGGGGGAGAAGGCCATGGAGTTCACAAGAGTGGGTGCTATGCCTCTACGGAATGCCCCCAAAGCATCTCTCCCCAGCAAGCAGGGGATCTGTGAGTGGAATCTGGGGTGACACTGAATCCTTGTCACAGCAACATTAGCTCCAACTTGAACATTCACGGTGTCACTTTCTTTTAAAAGTTGAGATTATTACAGACAGCACCATCTTTCAAGGACACCGGACCCTCGCTAGAACACACGTCTATATAGCACAAATTCGCATATAACCCGGTCGCGGCCATGAATCCCAAATTTAATTACTTTACTTGGAATTCATTTTAACGCGGTCCCCACTATAACATGGTCCCCGTGTTAATGCCGTACTGTGCATGGATCCCAAATCCTGCGTTCTAGCGAGGGTCCAGGGTATTTTTCTCCATAGAGCAGATTATTGTTAGTTAATATTTGTACTGTGGTAGCACCTAAAGGTGACAGTTAGGGATCGGGACTCTGTGGTGGAAGGTACTAGGCACCTATAATAAAAAGACTGTTCCTGTCCCAAAGAGCATACAATATATGGCCTTGATCTTGCAAAGACTTACGTGCATGCTTAACTTTAGGCACTGACTTGGACGGGGCTAGAATTTCACCTTGTCAGTAGTCCCATTGACCTTAATGCATAAGTCTTTGTAGGATTAGGGCCTACGCAATGTTGAGTTGTCATTTTATAAGTGGGTTTTTATTATGGACCAAGGAATTATTGTGTACACTGGGGTAACGCTCAATTAAAAATCTTTATAAAAGGTGTTAAGCAACAAACCCAGCCGTATATGTTCCATGGCACTAATGCATTCCACACCCACTGACACAACACTCGGGGCTTTCTCTGCCTGGTTTTAATCACTTGGCTTCAGCTTGGCAGCTCTGGTTGTACATGGAGATGATCAGTGGAGGGGTTTCCCTGCTTATGTGACAATAACTTTATGCTGGGCTAAACACACCCAGAGATTGAAAGGCCAGAGAAAATCTTTGCTCCACTGAGGTCAATGGCAAAACTCCCTGGTGTTTAGAAGCCCCTGATGTAGTTATTACCTTAAAAACACAGAGGACCCTCTTATTATTATTATTATTCATCCTTGTCTAAAATGCATGCTCCTCCGACTGAAAGGTGCTCTCCATCTTCCCATCCACCTTCCTCCTTTCCGTCTTGCATTCACCCCATCCCTTGGGAGGAGTACCCACAAGAAGTCATTTTTGTTCCACTGGGTTAGATTCCCAGCTGGTGTCACGTGATGTAGTTCACACCAGCTGAGAATCTGGCCCATTACATGTCCTCTGAAACCCCCCCTGCATACTGCTCTAGAAGTGCTCCCGCCTGGATAGTGGCATCAGAAAAGGACATTAGTTGTTTCTCAGTTCTTGAGGGTGGCTAGACTGTGGGGCTAAGAAATGGCACAGTTTGATGTGTGGCTCAACTCATTCACAGAGCAAATACACGGCTTTCCCTGAAAGTGGTGGCTGTCTGAAGCATAGGGCAAATTTCTCCAGGTTTTCACTACACCAACCTGGTGCACTTTGTAAACTTCAATAACCATACCTGAAAGGGTGTCTGTGCTGTGCTCTGCTGCTAACAGCTGCAGACTCATGGGCTTTCTCAGCAATTTTCCCACCCGAATTGGCCCACTCTGTGCCGTACTATTCTGTATTTGCCCTCAGATTGACTGGGAAGTCTTACAAAGGAAGTTTTGAAAATACAGCAGATGTATTTTTAGCTTTTATTCTTTCCCTCTCATTGCTTTGGATGGCTCTTTGCCTTCCGCAAGAACAACTAAAAATAATTTAAACAAGAGACCGTTTCCCTCCCCTCCTTGGCAGGAAGCGGACTCTGAAGTGATCTCTTGTCAATCTCTTTAAAGAGGCTGCCCTGCCTTCCTTTAGCACAGTTGATAGTATCTGTGCCTGGAAGCCACTTCTCCCATTGTCTCCTTTGCTGCTACATTATTCTCCCTACAGTGCAGTAGTAAATTTAGGGATGATTTAGAGACAGCTTTTTCCATCTCAGCCAGTCTCTCCTCTATATCTCGTGCCCTTCTTTCTTTTTTTCCTCCCTCCCATATATTTTGGTAAATAAAATGGGCATGATCATTCTGATTTCCTGGGCTCTTGAGCACCTTCTACCCTTCTGAATAGGCATGTCCAGAGCTTCCAGTCACTGGCAACCCTTCATTTTACGCCTCATTGAGGAAATCAGGGCTCAAAGCATAAAGTAATAATGCCTGTATTTCTGCAGTACCTGGTACAGATGGGCCATCAACCTATTGGAATCTTTCTTTTGACATCATCATGGCAAAACAGACTAGTTCAAACAATAACTAAATATACCCACAGGACATGTGGCAGCCAAACACTTCAGACTGAGCTGCTGAGTCCAGTATTTCATTGCCAAGCATTCAAGAATCATAAGGCTTCATCAAAAATTATGATGTGTTAAAAAATAATACAACTGGGGTTCTTTTTATTTCCCTTTTGGTTTTTGAGCCTGTCAGACTCATGTTTTCAAGCTTTGCACTGCAACCAAGAGGGCTAGGAAAGCTAAGAGTCTCACATAATCACAAAAAGAAAAGGAGGAATTGTGGCACCTTAGAGACTAACCAATTTATTTGCGCATAAGCTTTCATGAGCTGCAGCTTACTGCATCCGATGAAGTGAGCTGTAGCTCACGAAAGCTTATGCTCAAATAAATGGGTTAGTCTCTAAGGTGCCACAAGTCCTCCTTTTCTTTTTGCGGATACAGACTAACACGGCTGCTACTCTGAAACCTCACATAATCACATGACTCCAGGATCTGGGGCTTTAAGAAAAAACATCCATTATAGATAGACTGGCAATAAATTCATGAGAATCAGCAACAAAACACTTCACAGGTGTTTTCTGTTTCTTGTACCCGTGTAAACTCAATAGACCTGATCCTTTTCTCAAATATGAATATTTGTATTGCCACAAACTGGAATAATTTATGTTTAAGGAAAATATTAAAAGAACCCACCAAAATCCAGGAGTTTTGGAAGGGCTGTAAACCCTCCCGTCACAGGGCATGAGCCAACTGAGGTCAGATGGAAACTTTCTTGGAGGAATGTTAGCCCATAAATGCTACTGTAGGGTTTTTACACCTTCCCCTGAAGCATCTGGGGTGCCCATGGTCAGAGACAGAATACTGGGCTATCCTGGACCATGTGTCTGATCCACTCCGGCAAATCTTATGTCTCACCCAGAAGACTACACAATGACTAAACTGTAGCTCTGCAGAATCTCGATGCTCCTCGGGACAGCTCTGTGCATTTCCATTGTGTTTTCACAGCAAGGCCTGGCATGAGCAAAAGCGGGAAATCTTAGCTCTCTGCTTCAGTTATTTATATCCTATGAACTCAGATGGACACTTCTTGAGTGTGATTTTATGAGTTGCTGTCCAGGCTTAGCCAATTGGGAGCTGTCTGCCTGCCCCCCCATCAGCTGATTCAGAAACCTAAAATACAAAGGTGTCAGAGTAACAGCCGTGTTAGTCTGTGTTCGCAAAAAGAAAAGGAGTACTTGTGGCACCTTAGAGACTAACCAATTTATTTGAGCATGAGCTTTTGTGAGCTACAGCATCCGATTAAGTGAGCTGTAGCTCACGAAAGCTTATGCTCAAATAAATTGGTTAGTCTCTAAGGTGCCACAAGTCCTCGTTTTCTAAAATACAAAATAGTTTTTGCTTCTCGAACGATCCAAATCTAATCCAAACATAGTAAAAGCACCGCTCATTTTATCAGTCAGCAGTGTGAGAGACCACATCGGAATGGACATTGCTTATGCAACTTGGAAAGGGATTGGGTAGCTTGTGGGACAGACTACCAGCCCTCAGTACAACGGATCATTGCTAGTAGTGGCATGGCACCGCGGAAAACAACACACACTTCACTTCACTGTCATGAATGCTACATGCCAGGAAACGCTGCAACCTTTACCCCTGTCTTTTGGAAACTAACCCCTTAGTGATGATAAGCAGGAAGTGTCCAGCACATGAGTCACATGATCTTTGGTTTTAGGATGACACATGACATTTTTGATATGCTGTCTGGGTCAATCCATCATGAAATAATAGGTCAGATTCTCCATGGGGACCCCGTTCTTTCTGGAGACGTATTATTATGCTTCAGATGAGGCTATTTCCTGTTGTTGAGACAGACAAGCTGGGTGCTGAGCACAGATGAGAAAGTGAATCCAGGCCAATACAAGAAAGAAAGATAAAGCCAGGCTAAGCACAGAAAACATTGAGGTAGGACATCAAATAGAGCAGGTGGGAACACTGACCATATTAGGCTTGGATACGCAACAGCACGCAGGGAAGAAGCCCACCCACAGCCATGATCGCAGGAACTGAAAAGCAAACAAAAAGGCCCAGGATAAGGCATAAATCCCACTGCCCTGGTAATGTGCAAATATACTTGCAGCACTTGCATATGTACGGTATGCATTTGGACCCTGAACAAGTGGGCTTCAAGATTTTCATTGCAGGAGCTATGAAATGGGGAGAGTTTCCTTGAGATATTGTATGGGCCCTGATCCTTTGAAGCATTTAAGCCTGGACTTTATTTGACTGATGTAAATACTGCCACTGGAGGAAGTGGGGCTACCCATGTGCTTAAAGTTAAGTGGGGGCCTGGGATGTAGGTGCTTGCGTGATTTTATCACACAACAACGTGTTCAGTCTGATCGTGCAGTTATCTGTTAATATAATGTTCAAAGAGGTATGAACTTGGGTCCTTAATTTGCAGACACTTAGGAACTGTGTACAAGGAGCATTTGTGCACCCCAGCGGGGGTCAGACTTCTAGTCTGTCCCAGCATGCAGTGCACTAGCTGTCCGTGCAGATCCTGGAGGCACACACTAAAACTGCCCTGGTGCACATGGCGGTACTGGAGCACTGTTTGAAAACAGGACTCCAATAATGTGCACTAGGGAACTGTTAGTGCATGCCAGCAGGGTCCACATGGGCCAGTTAGTGTACAGCATGCTGATGCACACTAGAATTAATACCCCAGCTGGTGCTCACTTACATACCGTGTTGACAAGCCCGTACACAAATGCATAACTTTATGTACTCCCATTGACCTCCATGGGACTATTCATGTGAGCAAAGTTATGCACATGCAGGAAGTGTTTGCAGGATTGGGGCTCTATTTGCATGAGTGAATATTCTGGGGTATGCCTTCTCCTTAGTGATTTGCTCAGAATGTGTATTCAAAGGACACTGTGTGAAGCCACAGCTCATTTGAAGAAGATTGGTGAGGAATTATTCCAGGCTAAACGGTTCACCTGGCATCAGTCTATTATGAGAAGCAGGATGTAACTCTGTCACTAGCACAGAAGATGCCCTTTGTTGCCAAACTTCACATAATATTAAAGTTGTGTATTGCAGAAAAGAATACAGTGCAGGAGAAATAAATAATGGGTCCGAGGTTCGCTGGGGTAAGTCAGTATAGTTCCATTTTCTTTAGCAGAGCTATGCCCAATATTTCTAGCAAAATTATCATAATGTGCACTTCATTTTAAAAAAATATTCCCTCTCCAGATTTTTAAAGTAAAGTCTAATAGAACTTCTTATAAATTTTCTACCAGTAAAACAACTTTCACACTCTTGTAATTTTATTATGACGCTCACAACATTTGGTGTTTTTTCTTAAATCCCCAGCTCCTGGAGTCAGGTGATTATGTGAGAATCTCAGCTTTTCATTAAAATAATAAATTTCTAGCTGTCATGGCTATTGACACAACCTTGAAAATGCAAACACTAAGGGTTCAAAAACCAGAAACTAATAAGAAGAACCCAATATTTAAATGATTTTTAGGTCATGACTCACAATTTTTGAACATTTGGAGTAAGCAAGACTAGATAAGACCTATGTAGCCCACTCCAGGCTGTAATAACTGAATGACTCTGTCTCTGTCTCTCTCACACTCACACACACACACACTTATTCCACCTTCTACAAAGGAATGAAAACTACCATTCTATAATAGTGTCACTATAGCCAGAATTTTCTGAAGTGTTCAGCAGCCAGAATCAGGATCAGATTTCCAAATCAGTTCAGTTCCCTCTTAGGGCATGTCTACACTGCAATTAAAAACTGGTGGCTGGCCCATGACAGCTCACTCTGGCTCATGGGGCTCGAGCTAAGGGCTGTTTAGTTGTAATGTAGACGTTTGGGCTAGTGCTGAAGTCTGGGCTACAAGACTCTGCAAAATGGGAGGGTCCCAGAGCTTGGGCCGCACCCTGAACCTGAACATCTACACTAAAATTAAAGAGCCCCTTAGCACAAGCCCGTATCCCGAGCCAGCTGGCACAAGGGGATGTCTCATTGCAGTGTAGACACACCTTTAGACATCAAAAAACTGCCTAGATTCTCAAAAGAACCAAGCATGTTAGGTGCTCAATTTTTATGAAAATCTGGCCCTGAGCTCTTCTGAAAATATCGCCCCAACTGCAGACACTGAATACTTGTAACACCCTGAGTTCTTTGGAAAAAATTGCCCCCCATCCCCATTTCAGTGGCGTTGCTCAGGTGTCAGTGAAGGTAGAATTTGTGCCTCAATGTTTTATAGAACTAAAATCTGTAATTTACAGGCAAGTTAAACAGTTATTTTTTTCAAAAAGAAAAGGAGTATTTGTGGCACCTTAGAGACTAACCAATTTATTTGAGCATAAGCTTTCGTGAGCTACAGCTCACTTCACTGGATGCTCACGAAAGCTTATGCTCAAATAAATTGGCTAGTCTCTAAGGTGCCACAAGTCCTCTTTTTCTTTTTGGGAATACAGACCAACACGGCTGCTACTCTGAAACCAGTTTTTTTTTCTAGACCTGTGCTGCACACCATTAAAAAAAAAAAATAGGACAATCCAACAGCTCAGAATGGTACGTATACCTTGCAGAACACCCACATCTGTTTTACATGTAAATTAAATTGATTCATGGGAGAACAGAATTAACTCCTTGGTCCTGGACATCAAAATTTCTTGATGGCAAAGAGCACAGATGCTTCCACTAGGGCAGTTAACGCAAAAGCAGGTTTCGTGATTGCTGATGTTTATTATAGTACCTATCATCTTGGTGGTGAGGCACTTGAAAGCCAGACAGTAGAGCAGCTGTCTTCTCCATTAGCTGGATCTTCTCACCAGACTTCAGAGGCTGTCTTAGCAGAGCACATTACAGCACACTAGCCTGACATCACAGGCTGAGCTGGCCCTTTAACAGGGCTCTGCAACCTCTCCAGATGGAAGGACTAGAAACAAGGGTCACACAGGAAGCATCTAATGAAGAACCAGGCCTGCTGGGAGAGATAAGGGCAGCCACGGTCCATCAGAAACATTCAGAAAGAGACTCAGGGCCTGGGAGGGAAAGGGTTGAGTGGATGTCACAGGGTTGCTGGTCTCTGTGAACAGATTGAGCCCAGCGCCTATGGACTAGAGCAGGTGAGCCTAATCCAGCTAATTAAAGAGTGTGGGGCTACACCTGGGCCTATAAAGGGCTGCTAATAGGCAGCTGAGGAAGAAAGAACAAGACAGGCTAAGCCCTGGTCAGCAGACACCACACTGGAGTAGAGCTAACTCCTGTGGTGGGTCCCTAGAGCAAGGGGGCCCAGGGGCTCAAGGAAGGAACCCTGTGGCTCCAAGAGGGGAGCAGAGCTGGAGGAGTCAAGGAAGCTGCCAGGAGTGGAGAGCCAGAGACCCCTGAGTGGGGTGAACTCGAAGCCTGGGGGCCAGGTATTGAGTTAAGACTGCCTTCTGCTTGTCTGTTATAAAAGAATAAACCTTGACTTGGACTGGATGTGGCATCACATGCTTGGAGATGGGGTACAATGGCAGCCCCCTGGTGACAGTGAGTACACCATACAGCGAGACTCTCCTTTGCCCCCAGGCAGGGGCCTTGGGGAGTGCAGATCTGCAGAGAGCAGAAGCCAGCTACAAGGTTGGAGTGCGGGGGCGCTTACTGCCAGAAAGCCCTGGTGGGGACAGGGTGGTGAGCCAGCTAGGAAAGTCAGTTTGAAGTTCCTGGGGTGTTTTTTTTTAATGTGATATTAATAAGGACCAGGCACAGTGCCACCTGTAATCCCAGCTACGTGGGAGGCTGAGGCTGGCAGATCGCTCAGGGGTTCTGGGCTATGGTGCACTATGGATGATCCAAAGCTCCCACTTTGGAGGAATGGCCATTACCTCCTCTCTAGAGGCAGAGGGTAAAAGGCAGTATTTGCCACTGATGCTGTCTGGAAACCCAGGAGCAACAATGGATGCACTAGGGAGAGCCCTGTGAATCTTTTTGGTGGGAGCAGGACATACACACACAGAGACCACCATTAATGTTGCTAGATGCTTCCCCCAGGCAATAAGCATCCCTTCCATCTTGGCTAAGTAGAGCAGCAGTTCTTACGTGCATTAGATGGCGAAACTTATGAACCTCAAGTTTCAGAAAAGCAAATGCTGTGCTACCAACATACAGCATATCAATATATTACAAACAATTGCATTGTCTAGGCACCAAATGAAGAAAATTGCTCAAGGAATACTTCTGTGTCAGGTGCACCAGTGAGTCCGCCTACTTCATTAATGAGCACATGTATTGCGTCTACCAACCAGAGTGTTATAGCTATTAATCAATACAGCTAGAGTCCTGCAAACTGACAGATAACTCAAAGCCTGTTTGTTTTGCACCTTGAATATTTGTGGTGAGCACAGATGCAACTATGAGTGTCTGCTGTACACAGTTCAGGTCCCTCAGAGTTATAAGTTAAGGAATTGATCATGAGAATCAAAAGCGTTGTTCTTAGTTTTAACAAGCTATTCTTCCGAAGCCTACAACTGGAGAAGACAAGAATCTAATGTTAATGGAAGACTTTTTTCTAATATTGTAGCCAGCCCTAAGATGAGGGGTGATTATTTCATATATCTGTATAGCAGAAGGCCAACATGCTAACCTAGCTCCCACTGAGATGATACACTTCTCTCAAACATGAAAGGAACAACATTACATATTGCAAGCTGTTGGGAAAATATGTCCAGCTTGTCTTGTTTCAATACTCAGTTGTATTGCTATCCTTCTAACTTTCCTACTATGGGAATATATGATCCTTTTAGCACTACCTGCTAGGGCTTACCCAGTTTACATGTTCAGACATGTCACCAAGGTTTTTTTACAGTAACTGATGAGAACAAAAGATTGAGCAGATGACGTGTATGCAGTCAGAGAGACAGAGAACAACTTTATAGGAAAGGCATTGTATTTGAAAAGACCACTTGGAAACATGTGCTTACAGAAAAAGAAATGTCATCTTATGCCTAGGTTATGGGTCTATTACAGGAGTGGGTGGGTGACGTACTATGG